TACATACTCAAAGGCAATGTTTTTAAGCTTTGTTTTCTATGGTACATTAATAAGATCTCTATGGTTGTCAAAAATCCCTGATGAAAGATCATGAGAATTTTTTTGGCGCTTCATTTTGACTAATGGTGATGTGATGATGATGAATTTTATTAAAAGTGTCATTTCTAGCCATCTAGAGGTACTATTTCCTCAAATTTTCTCACCACATTTTGTGGGTGTCGACTCACAAAATGCCCTCCCCCTCCACCTTTCAAAACAGATCTGTGCCCTTCCCTGGGTATGATATTAAACTCCATCGAGTCGGCTCCTGATGTATGTCTTAGTGATTGCTGTTTGTTTTTAGGATGTGATCTGGTTTTTCATGTCCATTTTTCGTGATTATGACTATTCTGGATAAAGAATGTTTTGAGCAGATTTGATTCAAGGCGCCCCCTCCCCCTTCATTTTTTTAAGAAAACAAAAGAAAGAAAAATATATTCAAATTGAAGTGCGAGAGTGTAATTTCCGGCCATCTAGAGATGCCTTAATCATCCAACCATGGTGGGGCTGATGTGGGTGATTCCTCGGTCTGTGAAAGTCCCACCCTGGTTCACCTCTCTTTCGAATTCCTGGATCTGCCACTGTTGATTTATTATATAATTATTTTTGCGCTTATTTATAATGCGTCTATTGCAATTTTCACTTAATCCTCTCAAACAGTCCTAAGAACGTTCAGAGTGCGCTACTTCACAGGGGGATTCGCCCCCTTGACCCCGCCGGGGTCATACGTAATTCGCATAATGGCTCCCCCCTTTCAAAATCCTGGCTACGTCCCTGGTACCTTTCAGAACCCGGATATGCCTCTAAATCTGGCTCCTTGACGAATTCAATCTATTCGTTCATATATTTCATGTTTTGCTGCTGAATCCATGATTTTATTCCCTCAAACATTATGCATGCAGTGGCGTAACTACCGCAGGCTAATTGAAACTGGGGCCTGCGACCTCCAGGGTCCACCGATCTATAATAGCCCCGCCCTCTTATTAAAAAAAACCTAATAAAGAAATGCATAAATAAAAATCTGGATTGATAGTATTCATTTTTATGTAATACTGCACATTAATAATTTGAAATTGTTAAAAATACAGTAGTTACTTAAACATGACTAGGCCACTATGCCTGTTGTAAAAATTGTTACTCGTACACTAGATGAAAATCACAGGGAAAGAGAGATGGCGCTACAATTAGTGCAACAACATTCAAAGTGTTTGAGTTTGGAATATCCATGTCGATCGAAAATCATTTCAATTTCGTTATGTTAACAAGAAGGTGGTGGGGCATTTCATATAGCATTTGTATATTAAACATTGTCGAATTATTTTTTCGTCACAACAGTTTTTGTAATCAAAATTTTGTTTATACTGTATAATTTTTACAATATATTTTTCTCTGATGGGTTTCCCAAAACCGAAATTGCATAATAGATAAATGATTCGATTGTGCTTATGTAATAAGCAGATATTGGTGAAATCGGCCAATTTTCCGATGTTATGAATCTTGAAGCTTACAAATGTAGGCCTGTCCTGTATGATACCATGTTGAGTTTTCGTACACAATCTCTAAATCCAAATAGCTTATCCCATTTAGGAACTTCCTCCATATGCTAATATATTTTACTTGTTCGATACGTTTTCCGTCTACATGAAATATTCAGGACATCAGTTGAAAGTATATTCTTTTTCCTTATTAGGATTACTTTTGTTTTAGCTGCATGTATTTTCAACTTATTTCCGACATACCATTTACCAATATTTTCTAAAATATTTGTAATTTTGCATTTAATCCATCAATTTGTGTCCATGAAACACCACTATACACGAAAATCGTATCGTTGAGTAATAAACCATTATGCTAAACAAAGTATGAACTCGTGTATAGCATCTCTGGGGGAGATGTAGTGCAGGTACAGACGATGCGATCGCACCCTCCCCCTCCCTAAATTGCACTAAGGAATAAAATTGTTGTATAATTGTTGATATGAATTACCGGTAAGATTTTTAAGGTATAAGAGTGCAATTTTGTGGTACATGATATTCTCAAATTTAATGTTCCCGCAATTAATGGTGCACGTGCTGAGGTAGTGTGGAATCTCATTACCCACTACAGCCAAATCCTGCATCCACCCCAGCATCCATGAGAAGATCTATCAAACTATGACGGCATAGGCCTATAACAGTTGAGTGGTTCCTAAAAGCATATTGACTTTCATTGCGATATGTTTACTTGTTTACTTGTTTCTCAAGAGAGTCTTCTATAGTCTGACCTCCTGGGTATAGAGGACAAGCAAATCGATGCTTATAGGCCCCTCGAAAAAAAACAGCATATTTAAAATTTAACATAGGGCACAAATTTGAGCGGATCGTCAGCCAAACGTACTTCGATTGCAGATTTAAATAAATTAATTGAACTAGAGTTAACGTCTTCATTCAATAAAGTATATAATATATGTAATATTTTGATCATGGGCTTCCTTTTCAAAAATGTTGGCTATGTAGTATACCATTGAGATTGGTCTATGATTTTTAGGGCTTTACCTTTGTATGCGTGGGTGGGGGTAGTCATTGAGACTTTCCAATCGTTTAGAACCATACCATTCATTAATGATTTATTTAATAATGGAACCATAGAGAAAATATGATGGAACAGAGATTTCGCGATATAGTGTGATGCAAGTCTAAGTTCATAGCTAGTATTGAAATTATGACTTTTTTTTAATATCGGCAGTTACAAGTGTCGTAAAATTTAATGTGTGAATACAATTTTGGAATTTTGAAATGTCTGTTCCTCATATTACTAAAATAATTGCTAAAATTTTCACAATCAAGATTTGGGTGCATATTGTTTGAATTTTTGTTTATTCTTTATCCTACAAACGTTTGGGACCGTGTTTATGTTTGTTTAAAACTGATAAAGATTAATCTGACTTGGATTTTCAAATTTTACTCGTGCATTTGTTTCTACGTGAACGATTATTAAAAGGTGTTTGTTGGATAACATGATCACATTCATGCATAATCTATGAAATCAGGTGTAATCTATTTCATTTTATTTAGCTCAAGTAAATAAAAATAATATACAAGATAATTGTTGACATAGTTCATTGGTAAACATCAATTCAATAAATATCTCCAATGTGCTTTTTCTTTTGGTCATAAGAAGTAGAAATGCTTATTATTATGGTCAGTCCAACCAATAGCCGGCTCTTCAAAGATGCCCTCTGTGAACATATAAAAATTGAAAATTAAAAAAATCCAGAGATTTATTGTCACAATATTATAAAAATCGGAAGGACTCCTGCTCCAAAAGCAATCCATCGGTGGTACACATCTTAGTTGGTCAACTTGCATGCGAGAAGGGCCCCGACTGTACTCTTGAACCAGGGCCCCTCACAACCTAGTTATGCCAGTGTACCGTATGTAGGCCTATATGTATTGTATGGAGCTTCTGCTATCTAATCAAATTAAGACAGTTGGCTTCAGAACTCAGCAGTAATGATGTATGTCTCACAAAACTTGTTCACCTATACTCAAAAGACATTCATTGGCTACCACCGATAAGTAAACGTCTAAATTTCAAAATTATTCATACTCACTCATAAATACTTATATGGACACGCTCCCAGGACT